TAAGCGCGAAAGAAAGTTAAAACTTTAAAAAGCGCGAGTTAATAATAAAAGTGTGGTAATGGCCGTCGAAATGGGGACTCGCGAGCCCCACTGATCCGGGATTTAGAGGCTCGCTTTTCTAAACTTCGTTGGCACTTTCGTCGGCCTCGCGCGCTCCTTGCGTGGACCACCCCAACGACTCTCTTATTCTCTCTCTCTCTCTCTCTCTCTCTCTCTCTCTCTCTCGTCTTCTCATCTCCCTCGTGTGCCCAAAGCATTGGTCGATTGTTTCTCACACGTTTTCGCGAACTTGTTCTCTCTCTCTCTCTCTCTCTCTCTCACGAAGCTAACGATCGTCGTTGGGCTGCTTGAGCACGTACCGCGAGACACAGAGCTCCCGTGTCATTATTCCCCGCTTTATTTTTAAATTGATAATGCTGGAGGTGTTTTATTTTTAGAAATAGGTAGCTTTATGCACCCCGAACGCGGAATATCCTTAGGAATATAATAGTTATGGGCATTGTGTGCCGGCGACGTTCGACTGAAAAATTTTGGTAACCAGATATGCGATCTATTTTGGAACAAACTACGAATTTCCGGGTAGCTGTTGCAATAATGCAAGACTCGATAGTTCAAATTGCCTGAAATTATTGTCAATAATCGTTTTTCGAATATTTATAATGCGCACGCGATGTACTCTTGGGATCGACGATTTTTCAAACTCGAAATATAATCCTAATGGCGTAAGCTAGATTTCTTGAATTCCGCTGGATTATCGTCGATGTAACGTGGGAAATTAATTTAATTTGCTACACGACAGTTTGTCAACATTATCGCCGTCTCTCCAATGCTTTTATTGATATTCCATTTCGGTCAGTCAGCTCGTTTGAATCGATCCTATTGTCATTTATCATTATTCAGCTCATATAGCGAGCGTTGAAATAATGTGGGCGAGAGGATCGTAAATTAACAACGTTGCCGTTAAAATGAATTTTATTCGTTAAAAGGAATTTAATTTAAACTGATTTAATGGCAGGTAAGTTGAAAGGGAGAAAAGGCAGAAAGAAACGCGCGGACAATGAAGAGAGCAAAGAGAGTAAAGTAAGTAAGTAAGTAATAAGTTGAGTGACGAGGATCAATGTCCATCGCCTTCATTTCATGGTAGAGAAAGCAATATGCTCTCGCGTCCCATTCAATATCCTCCCTTTTTAATCCTATCAATAACGTGTCGTCCTAATAATGTAAACATCGAATAAAAAAGCGACCGAGAGAGAATGCCCAACCGGTTGCGCAAAAGCGTCATTTTGATAATCGCGCGCGCTCACAGCTGAAAAACGCCGTAAAAAAAGCAGTAATTTGGAGAAGGCACAGTTTCCATCATAAATTGAACAATCGCGGAGAAAGAGAAAAAGCGTAGGCGGTACCCGCGAGTCCCCGAGTTTCGCACGGCCGTGTATATATTGTGGAAAGCCCCTCCACGGACGCGAGGAGAGCGAAATTTCGCGAGCCGCGACGTTTTCCCATTGGCCTCCGCGCTGGATAACAATTTCGTTCTGTCCCTTCCTCTTACTGCACAGGGCGGGGCCTAACACTTCTCTCTCTCTCTCTCTCTCTCTCTCTCTCTCTCTCTCTCTATCTCTCTGTCTCTGTCTCTCTGACACACGCACGCACGCACGCACGCACGCACACACGCACGCACGCACACAAACCCAACACTCCCTTTCTCTCTCATAACTAAGATTTTCCTGCTTTTTCACGCATGCGTCGTATTGATGTTTTATACCATGCATGCACAACTCCTTTTTGCTCTCAGGCCAACGACGCGCGGCAGCTTCTTTAATGATAATATGAATTCTGTCACTCACCATCGTCCTCTCGACTAATATAGGCAAGAATTCTTCGTATGAAATGTTGCAGCGTCCTTGTCTTTGATAGTCTGTTGATGCATATGCAACATTGCCGAGTTAGAAGAAAATGTTGTCGTTGAATGTTCTAGCCTCGGGATATTAGGTGCTTTCTTTTTTGTAATCAAGTCCACCCCACAACATAGAGGCGGACACAAGTTGTAATCGGGTATCAAATTGAAATTTATATTTCGGCAGTTGACAAATAATTAATGTTTATTATCAACCTAGGAATATAAACGATGAAGGAGTAGGAATATTTATGAGTACAATAGGACAAAAAAGCGGTTTACATTGACTCGATAGTTGCAGACAAGAACACAAAAGTGGAAAGATGATAGGTTTGGAAAACTGTTGGGGAAAAAAACTATTGTACATCGATATATTTTCATTGATGCAAATATTTTTAGTTTAACAAAATTAATTTTGAAAAAAAAAACACAACGTGGATCCAATATTAAAAGAAAAAATAAATAAATAACACAAAGAACCACAAATCAGATGGTAAATTAAGAATATTTTGTTTTTTAATTTTCATTTAAGAAAATAAATAGTCTAGTCGGTCTACCGTCTTCTCTTCGTGCGTTAATTATCTTAAATTTTAATATCATCAAAAATTTTATTATTACATATTGTATAGTACAGAGCATTGGGTAATTAATATTTAAGAAACTATGTTTACGCTTTTATTTTAATTATTAGTATTTTTTATTTAGTATTAATTATTAGATTAAATTATTAGTACGACGGTTTGATAATAGGAAGTGAAAGTATGTTAATGTAGGAATTAAATAAAGTAAAAGATAACGTTGTCGATGATAAATAATTGAATTTTATTCAGTACCCTTTAGTTTACTATAAACATCATTGACAGAATAACGTTAAGCGCAAACCCGTAATTGCGTCTATAATCCGCGTTTGCAGCGTGATCACGACATACATATTAACTTATTGCTATTAAATTCAAGTATACAACATCTTCATTTCTGTCGAAGAGTAAACATAGAAAATAAGAGAAAATCATGAACAACGACGTCATATAGAAAAATTGCTAAACTTCCATCGATGATAGTGATTATTTTCTTCTCGTTAATGATAATAACATTAATATTAATATTAATAATTAATTAATTAATTAATAATAATAATAATAATAATAATAATAATAATAATAAACTTTATATCGATCGCTCTAAGTACATATTTCTTTGTTTAAACAGCGAATGATTCAATTGTCTCTATATTTTTTTTTTCCTTCTTTTTTATTCGATTGTAAGACAACTACATCATTTTTCACATTTTACAGGCTATATATATATATATATATATATATATATATATATATATATATATATATGTATATCCTTCATTTATTATACGTTATAATCATGAATAGGATTGTAAAAGAGAAAATTTTATCATTGTTCTTACTTAAGAACAGATTAAAACGTTCTCGTGTAAGATTCGCATTTACATACTCAAAACATTAACAACTAAGGCCTTAATGCATAACGCATATTAATATAAAATATTTACATACACGCGCCGAGGGTCGTCTTTTTATCTTATGATATGGATATAAACATTCAAAACAGTTCCTAATACTTTTAGCAAAATTAAAATCCATCTATCAATTATTATAGGAATAATACATGAATATTATACAAAAATTTACAAACGATTACATGAAATTATAATATATTATAATTTCACAAAACAAAAACAAAAAATAAAAATCGAAAATAATTCTTGAACATGCAAATGTTTGGATATTAATTTGTACTGTTTGTCAATAAAAGCGTGAAAAAGCTTCGTTACCATGCGCCGCTTCCAATATATATTTTTCTTTTCTTCTTATAATCTTAACTATAAAGAAACGCGACCAAATTTTATTCATTAACTTTCTTTAGGAACATACAGGGCAATACAGATCGTCGGTTATATAGAATTGAAAGTGCACCGACGACAACTCGTTTTGAATCTTCATACCAGAGATTCGAAATTTAAAGAAAAAGAGAACGCACGTCACGGGCGTGTAAAATACTGTCCAACAGTCATAATATAATAGCGCTAAATAACAAAGGAAGGGCAATTAATTCGTTAGAACTGCCGGCAACGCAACGATTCTGCTTCGGAAACGTTGATTATTCCAAGATCTTGGAGACCTCCGGAATTAATGAGAAAAGAATATTAAATTAAAAGCGCGACGCCTTATTAAAGAAAACACATGGGAAAACGCATCTCGTGAAATATCTCGTCGTGCCCGATCTTAAAAATTACGTATCATAGAAAAACTTAATTCCGCTGGCGACTCACAAGCGCCTCCATTAAAACTGTCGACATCAAACGAAATGCGGTTTTAGCAATCAAAAAGTTGCGAGAAAGTCCTGATTTTAGAATATTACGACACGTAAATGCCCCGGCGGCTTCCTCGCGTTAAAATATTTTGTTCTACTTTAAAAATACCAATTATCGCCTCTCCCACGATGTACATAATAATTATTCGGAATTTCATCCCCGAAGTAAAATAAAAACCGTCGAATTAAAAGGATATCGTACTTGCATGAGACACGATCTACCGCGATACGTTGATGATTTTGAAATGTACATCGTAAGGATGATGATGATGATGATGATGAGGAGGAGGAGGAGGAGGAAGAGGAGGATGAGGAGGAAGAGGAGGAAGAGGAGGAAGAGGAGGATGAGGAGGAAGAAGAGGATGAGGAGGTGGAGGAAGAGGTGGAAAAAAGGAATGATCGCGTTTCGCTAGCGCGCACAATTAAACACAATTCAACACGGCTTCCTTGGCGCTAACTAACGTAAAAGTAACGGCGGGAGGGACGATAGAGAGGAAAGAGATGGAACGAAGGGCGCGTGAGAGAGCGGCGGAAAGAGACTTCGTGTGCGCGTGTTAGTGTCAATGTGCCCGTGGTGCGTACACGTGTTTTTTCGGGCGTGCGTGGGTGCCTGGGTGGATGGGTGGGTGGGTTTGTGGGTGAAAGGAGATAAAATGGTGGGAGAAGTTGGAGAGAAGAAATGGATCGATAGGCTGAGATATAGAGTGCGAGAGATTACATACTTCGGATGTTAAGAAGGGCTAATCGGGAGGTTAAGCCTTCACATGTAGCACTTGGAGCGCGTCTGAAAGTCGACGGGCGAGTAGGCGATGGAGGAGACGCTCGACGGCGTCGTCGAGCTGTACATGTTGGAGGCGACGCCAACGGTGCTGACACTGCTTGGTGAAACGGGTGTGTTACCCGGGTCCTCCTTCACCACTGAAAAAATAAGCGTTGCCTCGCCATTATTTACAAAACGCCGACTCTACAAGCTCGTCGGGCTTGATGATCTTTAACCCGTCACTCCCCACCCCCTCACATACACAGAAGCGCGCGCCCGCGCGCACACAAAACGGAGCTCCTATTACAAATCTAATAGTAATCCATCCCACCTCCTTCCCAATTTAGAGATTCGTATAATTAGTAACATTAATGAATGGATTGGTATCCTTTACGACGTGGTAATACAGGCAGACAAGTGTGTTCGCGAGCACTCAGGCATTATTGAAAAAAATATGTGAAAGCCTTGGTAATTCGACTACATTCGCCAAAGTTCATTTATTAATGGCATTAAGATTATCGAAATCTATTATAATCCAATTTAAGATTTAATTTCATTTTTCGTCATACACGCGAAGAACTAATTTTTACTATAAAAATCATAATAAATTATCAAACTAAAGGCCAACTTTAAAACAATTTTTTAAGGTCACTCGTTATCTTTGTCTTATCACCTTTCCTCGCACAGTTTTATTCATTAAAAATTGTCTACCTGCATCATAATTAAATCGTTCAATAGCTCTAGAATTTTATCCACGTCAATTATCATCACGTGAAGTCGAATAAATTTTTTTATATTATTTATAAGATCTTTATTTTACCTCTTTACCATTTTTATCGCTGAAATTGTCATATTAAACAATTTTCTTATTGTAATTAAATAATTACTGTTAAATACTAGCCTCTGTTAATGTGTCACTATTAGAAAATAGAAAATACCATAACAAATATAATAAATAAAATCATAAACTCAAGAAAATTTTTGGAAAAAAAAAAAACAAAAAAACAAGTATTTTAAACAGGAAATTTGAGTTTACGTAATAGCAGAGTCGCTACGGTAATTTCAAATGTACATGAAATCATATGTAATAAGTTAAACCATAAAAATCTACGCTACGCTATTACTTTCAGAAATGATTATACACATTCATAGCGGCTTATCTTTAAAATAAATAACTTGTTTGTCAAAATATTTTTCGATTATATCTTTTTTAAATTTATTGTATACTTTGGTGGTATTTTTTACATTCAGTGTCGGTATTACGTTTTATTAAATTCACTAAATGCCAAAATATGAATGGAAAATAATTAGACATTATAATGAAATTTTATAGTTCAGAAACATAACACGTAAGAATAGAGACAGGCATGCCACTTGGAAATCTCTCTCTCTCTCTCTCTCTCTCTCTCTCTCTCTCTCTCTCCCTCTCTCAAGATATGAAACGTAAAGAGTGCGGCAGCCGCTGAAATATTTTTAAAAATAAATAAAAATAAAGAATGCTCGTGCTGTCTATAAAAGTTGTATAGATATAATGACAGTAAAAACAGTTTGTTAACGCTCGTACATAAAAAAATTTATTTGTACATTTATTGATTTATTAAAAGAAAGAAGAAAAAAAATCCACATTGAAAATTAAATAATCCAATATCAATAATAAGTGTAATATATATGATACAAATAAACTTTAAGATTAAAAAAGCTGCCCAGTACTTTGAATACGCATACAACGGGTTTACGTATGGAACGGAAAGTTAAAAATTTTCTCCGCCTACCCATAATGCCACTTCGTTCCCTCGGTATTTATTTATATTAAAAGCCTTGAATAAAACGCAATCGACAGAGATGCTTGGTGTCGTCCCGTAAAATACTCGATCAAAAATATAACGAATACGACGAGTGCAACTTGGCGTCGTAACTTTTTCGAATTGTTGATACTGCGAGTCGCGAGTAGTCGAGTGGCAACTTTGCCGATTGTCAGCCGAAAACCCCATGGATGCTTGCAATCCTCATCCCACTATGGCAGAATCTTCATTGCTTGTACGTGGCCTATGGGATGACCTTATAAAGTTGCTTTCGTAGAGTTATCTGAACATGATTTTCCCGGCGACTCGTCATCATTTCATCCGCGGTTCGGTACAGTTGCTCGTCGTCCACGTCACCCCCATCCGAGTAAAGCAGCACCTCTTGCTAGCCGAACCACTGATGCTCGTTCCTTCAGCATAGTTGGTTATCCGAGATCTCGCACGCACGCGCGCGCTCTGAAAGGCGGTAGAGCGAGAAGAACGAAAGGGAGAAAAAGAACGGCTGCACGTGTGCGCGCACGCCGTTACGATTCACTGAGCGGAGCCGAATGACCGCTGCCCTCACTCGCCCTCACTAACCCTTTCTTATTATACCCAACCGCCACTTTCCTCTCACTCACTCTCACTCTCTCGCTCTCTCAATCTTATGCACATCTCACAAGCCATTGGTTCTGTAACAATGGACAATTTGCCGCCGTATTACATATATACTGCTCGGTGAAAATTTACATTTTTCGTCAATAAAAACGACTTTACACGTACGTAATCCTAGCGTAAGTTTCTATTAATCGAATAATTGCTTGAGCGCTAATTCGCTCCAACCGTAACCATTTTCTTGGCAAATTTTAAATCAGACAACAGGAGCGTATTCAATGATTATTATTAAATCGTAGTACGAGAGAATGTAATGTAGCGTAACATTTCCATTACTAGTTGGATAAGACGACGTACTCTTCTAAATATTTCAGCGGATTTGTAATTTTCTGAGCAACATTCAAGTTATAAAATTGACGTACATTTACAAAAGAAGAAGTCTGCATTCAATTTTATTGCGAATAGTGACTTTTATTAAAAGATAATGTAGCGTGAAACAACGTGAAACCAATAAGATAATTAAAATTCGTGAAATGAATAGTAAAATGAAATAAATAGTTGTTTTAATAATGCGTTGTAAAATTATTTTGATTTACTTGTCTATTCGATTATTTAAAGTCATCTTCTATTTAATTAGGACATAGTGTTGCCATGCAATTGTTCGTGCTAAGTGAGAAATATAACTTATCGAGCGCAACTGTGCATTAATATTATTTATTAAGAATAGGACATGTAAATCTTATGTAGTCGATTAATTAAATAACGAAAATCACAAATATATCAAACTATTTCTATAAGTGCCGTATTAAAAATTTTAAATAAAATAGCGATTTAAAATACACTAAAATTATGTATATACGCGAGCGCGCGCGCGCGTGTGTATGTGTATATATATATATATATATATATATATATAGAGGATAATTTTCTTTAATTTTTCTAGCGTACGTAAAATAGTAGTAGCTTGCAACAATCGGACAAAGCCACTTTTTCACAACCAAACTTATCAACGCCCCATAAATTTTCAATAGGGGAGCTTAAATTATCGAAGAACGTCGCAATTCCAATGATAACAACAATATGTATACTCACTATCCGGCCAATATGAGCACCTGGAGACGGCTTCGGTAACGGACATGGAAGCGGCATCGTGCCTCCTGGCGCAAGTAGCGAACCCACCCGCGAACGAGTTACTGCTCATCGAAGCCGTGGAGCCGCTCGTGCTTCCTGGAACATCCAGATAATTGCCTTGAAAGGCTTTGAGAGGACCTTTATCACTTTCGGGAATGTTACCGTGGATGGGGCTACTCGAGGGTCTAGCAAGCTCACCTAAAGATGAACTGATCTGACTGTAGCCGTTCATTGTCGGGATCTGCATCGACTGCATCGGTAATTGTTGCGGCAGCTGTAACGAGCTGTAATGAGACGATGACAGTGGCTGTTGCTGTAAGCTCCAGGCACTAAAAAAGCAGAATAGAAGAGGCCAACGATTAGTCTTGGAAGCCAAATGTACAAGCACAAGTCTAATACCCCTCCCCCCCGACCCTCTTCTCTGCTGTCACGCGTAAATCCTGTGCAATCCGACATTTTTAAACGCATTAAGGCAAATTCCTGCGAGTAGTAGTAGTAGCAGTAGTAGTAGTAGTAGTAGTAGTAGTAGTAGTAGTAGTAGTAGTAGTAGTAGTAGTAGTAGTAGTAGTAGTAGTAGTAGTAGTAGTAGTAGTAGTAGTAGTAGTAGTAGTAGTAGTAGTAGTAGTAGTAGTAGTAGTAGTAGTAGTAGTAGTAGTAGTAGTAGTAGTAGTAGTAGTAGTAGTAGTAGTAGTAGTAGTAGTAGTAGTAGTAGTAGTAGTAGTAGTAGTAGTAGTAGTAGTAGTAGTAGTAGTAGTAGTAGTAGTAGTAGTAGTAGTAGTAGTAGTAGTAGTAGTAGTAGTAGTAGTAGTAGTAGTAGTAGTAGTAGTAGTAGTAGTAGTAGTAGTAGTAGTAGTAGTAGTAGTAGTAGTAGTAGTAGTAGTAGTAGTAGTAGTAGTAGTAGTAGTAGTAGTAGTAGTAGTAGTAGTAGTAGTAGTAGTAGTAGTAGTAGTAGTAGTAGTAGTAGTAGTAGTAGTAGTAGTAGTAGTAGTAGTAGTAGTAGTAGTAGTAGTAGTAGTAGTAGTAGTAGTAGTAGTAGTAGTAGTAGTAGTAGTAGTAGTAGTAGTAGTAGTAGTAGTAGTAGTAGTAGTAGTAGTAGTAGTAGTAGTAGTAGTAGTAGTAGTAGTAGTAGTAGTAGTAGTAGTAGTAGTAGTAGTAGTAGTAGTAGTAGTAGTAGTAGTAGTAGTAGTAGTAGTAGTAGTAGTAGTAGTAGTAGTAGTAGTAGTAGTAGTAGTAGTAGTAGTAGTAGTAGTAGTAGTAGTAGTAGTAGTAGTAGTAGTAGTAGTAGTAGTAGTAGTAGTAGTAGTAGTAGTAGTAGTAGTAGTAGTAGTAGTAGTAGTAGTAGTAGTAGTAGTAGTAGTAGTAGTAGTAGTAGTAGTAGTAGTAGTAATAAATAATTAAATGAACCTTGTGTCGTAACGTGGGTAGGCCGTGGTGGAGTAGGCAGGCGGAGAGTGGGTGAAGATGGTCCTCGAGGCGCCGAGGTGCACGTGTGCCGACTGGAAGTGATCGCCGAACAAGCCCTTGGGGTAGGGCGCGTTAGGGTAATGGCGCTTCATGCGCTTGCGCCGTCGCCAATTGCCGTGCTCGAACATGTCGCCGGCCTCCGGATCTGGGGACACACATGATGCAAGGGGGCCTTCGTCATTCGCATCCTTGTCGTTATTATAGGGGTAAAAGGTGCGTGCCACTTCAGCGAATGACATGGGATTTCAAAATGCCTTAAGAGAGTGTATTTTCATCGAGACGAGTGATAGTGGGATTGAAAAATCGTTCGTTATTGTGAGAATAAACGTAGGGTACTATTTATTGGCTATTGGCTCGAACATAACCTATTGATTTACCTAAGTTTATTATTATTCACGTTATAGTTTTCCGTTCTCGATTATTCGCAATCAATATAAAATTAAAACACGTTGATTAGAATAACGGACATGTTTTTAATCATTTGTTGGAAAGTAAAACGTATTCGGTAAAGGAGCAAATTTATGAATCTCTATTGTTTAATAGTGAGACATTTAATAAATAAGTGCAGCTAATTGTAATTCATTATGGGTTATGATTAATTTCGGAGTGCTCTGTACGATTAAATCATTATGTTTGTAGGATTTTGAAGGACAAAATTGATGTGTTTTGCTAAATTTTCAAAAACATTTGAATTTTTTCATCGCGTGTAGAAAAAAACATTAGGCAAATTTAGTACTCCCCTCCCCCCCGCCCCTCAAGCATTTTAGTACACTTTCCATATTATTGTCGTAATAATATAATTAGGTGAAATATCGTTGAAATTTGTTTATGTAAATAACGAATTGTCATTGTTTGGGAATGGATTTTCCTTATCTATGTAAATATTATGATTACATTTGTTGTGCACTTCATCTCTGAGCATAATTCAGTTATGTAAATTCAAGTTTTCCAAGTCAGCATCATCGATGATATGTGTTGGGGCTTGATTTAATAAAATAATGACTGGATACGATGAATTTGCTTTCGGGTAAATTGGAATGACTGATAACATTTTTTCTTCATACTAATAAATATTCTTAAAAATGTCCTAGTATGTGTAGTGGCGGCGGCGTGTGCCATTTGGATTACATAAATCAATTTTTATTAAAGAATCATTAAATAATTGCATATCTTGTAAAATGAAACGACAGTTCTAATAAAATTATCCATCGAAAGATTAAGGCAAAAAAAGAAGAAAAAAAGAAGAAAAAAAGGAGACAGCTAAGGAATAGGAGGCCGGGGGGTCGGTGGGTGGGGGGGGGGGGGGGGGGAAAAGGTGGTTAGCCGATGATCGGAAAACAGTGGTAATGATGAGTTTACTCGGAGCCGGCAAAAGAAAAACTAACTCACGAATGGTCCAATAGTTGCCTTTGCGTTCGCCGCCACCCTCCCTGGGCACTTTGACGAAGCACTCGTTGAGACTGAGATTATGCCTGATGGAGTTCTGCCAACCCTTCTTATTTTTCTCGAAGAAGGGGAAGTTGGTCTGGATGAAGGCGTAGATCTCGCTGAGGGTAAGCCTTTTGAGCTTGCTATTTTGTATGGCCATGGTGATGAGGGCGACGTAGCTGTAGGGCGGCTTGGTGTCGCTTGGATTGCCCCCAGCGCCGGTCTCCCCCTGTGTACCACCCCCCGTGGTTGCCGTCACGGCCCCATTGCTCCCGCCTGTCGTCGTACTCGCATCACCCGACGGCACGCGGATCGTCCGAGCGCGCTTGCAGCTCCCGTTGTCCGGTCCGCTGCCGGCACCGCCGTCCTCTGCCTCGGCATTGCTCGTCGAAGCCTCCAGGACTGCCGACTCGAGCGGCGACTCGGCCTTTCGCTTCGTCGCACCCGACAGCTGTCAAACAAAAGTCGACGAATTATTTTTCTCAAGCGGCTTTATTGGCGCAAGCCCACTGTCTCTTAAAAGCACAGATTTATATGAACAGGTGGGAGCTTTTTATCTGGAGGAGGGAAACTGGTAGGTCGCAGTCGCCCCTTAAGCTCTCTTCGGTTTTCTTTATACATTTTTAAGATTAGACACGGATTCGAATTGGCATTTGAAATAACAAGAGAGCTAGCTCCATTCTGTTATATAAATATAGAGTTGTCCCTACTATTCTTTCCGTTTTTAGATTCTTTCGTCATCTTCTACGTTCCATTGAACTTTACAAATTTCAATATTTCTAAATCGAGACATTCCATACTTATCATTTACTTCTGCAATGTTTAAGAAACAAAGAACAAAAAAAAAAAAAACAAAAAAAAAAAGTATCCAATCTCATGGTAACGTTGTGTTAGAAGGGAGGGAGAAACAGAGAGTATACTAATACAAGTAAAATAATAATCGAAGTTGAAGGTAATTCTTGTCGGAATTTATTGTAAAATAAAATAAAATAAATGAAAAGATAAAAATAGTCCATTCAAGAGTCTCGGTTATTAACAATTTTATATTCCGTATTCCATAAATCAGTAAATAAATTCACTCGCGGTTCATCGAATAATTTCTAATAGTAAAAAAAAAGATAAAGAAAGAAAAAAAATGTCTTAGCTTCCTTTGCGAGAAACGATCGACGATTTGCTCACCGAACGATTATGATGTTGCTGAGAGGAGCCCAGAGGAACGTTACTGCTCGACGGTACGGAGACAACGGAGTCCGGGCTGTGGTGTAAGGGTAGATGATCGTGAAGACTCGAGGTGACGACGACCGAAGAGTCACGTGACAAGCTCCCGACGGAGACGTTGAGATCTTTGGGGCTCGTCGTCATGCACGTACTGTTCATTGGATCCGTGACAAAATTGCCAACTGCAATGAAATACCAAATACCTTTCTTTATGAACGATTATGCGATGACGATGAGTAATTACATTGTATATTTGTTCAATCGTAAAATTTCAGTCAGCATTGACGTTAATTTTATAATTAAATCGATCAAGAGACGAGGATGGTCACTCTCAGCCAATCCCATCATCCGACAACTCCAACTTCTTATCTTCAGCTTAATTTCTTACCTTTATTATACCTATTTAAGTTGTCGATGATATAAAATTATTTTGTTTTTATTTTTAAGAATTTTAAGTTGCGCTTGCATCCCAGAATATAACTAAAGCGTTCTTCAATATAGTGAAATAATTCTTATTGTATCTCTTCCCTAGTCTACTACATCAACTATAGAATTAATTTTTCTTCGCTTAGCTCTTACTTCGGTAAAAGAAACATTACATTTTCTCATCTTAAATCTACTATCCGTTCACTCTTATTATTATGCACGTGTACGTGCATTCAAGTACAATGATCCCTGTATATTAATTAAGACAATGCTAATGAATTATTGACTATTAAAGCAACATTACTTAACTTAACTCGTAATTTATAATATCGCAATTGCATATCTCTTTAAGTATATTGTACATCTTAATGCACAATAATAAAATAGACGAAACATTTATTAATAATAAATTAACATATCATAATTGGTATTATAAATCTGCCTTAACTAATTTAATGAGGAGCTCGGTTGGAAAGTACTTAGGGAACAGTAGTTGTAATTATAATAGTTGTAACTATAATTCAACTATATTATTAATCCTTTTATCTTGTGTTTTAAAGTAGCAATTTAATTATACACTTAATCTATAATTATAAATATTTAACCTATAATTGTAAATGTTTAAACTGCAATTATAAACATTTAATCTACGTACGATAAACTAATTAAATTATAAAATTCGTTTATAAACAACAATTTGTCAAAATAACACAATTATTATGACAATCTTTCATCATTATTTGTGCAATGATTGAAACAACGATGATTAATGAGCAAAAATACTCATAAATTTATTAATTCAAATACCGATTAGTATTAAATTATTATTTGTAAATACTTTAATATTGTTGCAAGATTATTATCGTGAGTCTTTTGACGTGCATAAGGAATTATCTTAACACACATTCAAAACACTTTTTCAAAGCAAATAAACAAATTAAAGACTTAATTGAATATGTTTTTATTTAAAGAGCTAAACTAACTAGGCGTATCTAATCATTTCAATAATAAAAGAGCAAATAATAAAGGCACTGTTTTATAAAACATTTGCAAATGAAAACGGAACGTATGAAATTTTTTGGCACTTAAGAGCCATACTTACTTAACTTTTATTCACATATCTTTCATATAACCACGGAACTAGTAATATTATTAATTCCCCTGCTCTTACCAATTACAAAGGCATTAATCGAATACATTATTCGCTGGCGATTATTTTGTTTAAGGAGGCGAAAAAGTGCTCCGAGCAAATAATCTTCTACGCTACAACAATATTTCGAATGGAGCATTGACGTTGGTTGCATTGAATTTGAAATTCAAGCAAAATTTACATCAAGTTGAATGAATATTTATTTGTTCGTGTTCTTTATAGCAAAATGTTGATTATATTTGTTCGAAATAAACAAGGCTCTTTTTCTTTTTTTCTTTCTCTCTCTCTTTCTTTCTTTCTTTCTTTCTTTCTTTCTTTCTTTTTTTTTCTTTAATAAATACGAACGACTTTAATATCGATTAATTAGCTTGCAATATGCAATATAATTTCATATGAAAGGCTGCGCGCGATTGTTCGGCTGGGAAACATAAAAGATGATACTTTCAGTTCCAGTCAGTAGGTTTAACGCGAAAAATGGAAGCGTAAAGTATCGGGGACAGTGCACCTGACTATTGGAAAAAGCAACTATCAAAAAAAAAAAAGAAAAAGAAAAAAAGAAGTCAACAAGCATTCGTATGGCCACGATTCCGACGATCGACGAACACAATGCGTACAACAAAGAGACAGAGAGAGAGAGAGAGAGAGAGAGAGAGAGAGAGAGAGAGAGAGAGTAGCGCGAATGTGTGCGAGACTGCGGCGCAAGAGAGAGGGGATAGTGAAAGGGGGAATGTAATAGAAATTTGCGGCTTATTAAAGTAACGGAGGAGTATGGAATCATTACTTCCTCGAAGTAATCGGTTCGACGACAATTGCACCTTTTTAATAAGAACTTTACGCGCCTCGAAATTCGAGACTCGATGTACATTGCGCGCGCAACCACTGCGATACTTTTGCGTCGGGCTTCCGCACGATAAGCGAGACCAATGCGAACGAGCCTCTCTCCATTCTTGCGTGCCGAGAGAGAGAGAGAAGAGAGTGAGAGAGAAGAGAGTGAGAGAGGGTAGAGGAGAGCAAAGCCCAAAATTACGATACAAACTTGGCCTGAAGTTGGCCCGAGGCGGAGTTGTAGGCGGCAGACGGCAGGCAGGCATAAATGCGGTTTCGTATTGAGATCCCCACGAGACGCATGAAATGCACATAAGAAAAATAACGTAAATTGATAAGGAGCAAGTCGATGAAATTTTGTTGGTAATTAAGATGTTGGCTCGTGTCACGCGACTGCAATAGCGACTATTGTATATTCGGCATTTTCCCGGGTCCTTAACAATAGGACCAACGAACGCGCTTTTCTTTTCCTGGACAAAAATATTTTGAAATCATCTACATCCATGTTATTATTCTTACTACTCGCTGTTTATTAGCGTCATTATCATTATCAATTATCATCGTAATCATAAGCAGCGTTGTCGTTGTCGTTGTCGTCATCTGTAACTTTTTTCCTTCACGACTCTCAATTTCACGAGGTCTAGCAATGCCCAAACAGTCTTTCTTCCCCGCACTATACTATCCTCCTCTACGAATAAGAAATATGAAATTGTTTTTCATTTCCGCAATAATATTTCATTAAAAGTCAATTTTGCGTATTAACGTTTATAATACGGTTTTGGCGATATTGCGAGCGTTAGATTGTGTACCTACGTACCTACGTACCTACGTACCTACGTACCTACGTACCTACGTACGTACGTACGTAGAGACAGACACGGTAGTTACGGCGGTCTTCTCTCACATTCCCAATAAATAGTCGCACATTGGACACTTTTACATCGCGTGATATTTAGTCGCTCATTACTAGTCGATTTTCAAGTGTTTCTGACAGACGCCTCTCGAGTCTATGCTGACTTACCAACAATTATACTCAAATTTAACTGTATAAATGAATAAAATGAAATAGGTCAATCGTTATAGACGTGGAAAATATAGGAAAATTTCAATTGTAATTATTTTTATTGAGAAATCATTGCAAGCCCCTATCTATTTAAATGGACAAAAAATCTACGAGAAAATGCCTCGATGATTGATAAGTAAGGCTTTATAATAATATTATAGTAGAAGAATTTAACGATTAGCCTTATTGTCGAATTTCTTATAACGACTTATAGCGCTCATATTCGAAAATATTCGGGCGCAAAAAAATAATGAATTTCACAGGTTGAGGTTGGAGCGAGTACGACGATGTATCGTTAGTTAGTTGGAAATTATGGTACGTACGGGGGGGGGGGCTCGCTCGCGACGTATCTCGCTTGAAGCAAGAAGGAGGAGGAGGAGGTGGAGGAGGAGGAGGCGGCTCGATTAATTGGAGAAAATTGAAACGTTACGTTTGAAAATTTAAGCAAAAACCATTAGGAGCGTTGATTTGAAAATCTTGAGGAAAGCAGGTTTAATAAACAATATATGTAATTTGAGCGAGCAGAAAAGATTGAATAATAATACTTCTCTTTCATTGTTCAAAGTTGGCGTCGTCGATGGTCGTACGGTACTAAGGTTAACAATTTTTCCTTCGCTCATGCAATATTATGAGCTGCCTAATTGTAAAATAAAATCCATTGTATATTTACATTTGTTGTAGTTGGAAAACTGTTGAAGTTATCGGGAACAAAGGTTTGGCGCGGCCCGAGGAGTTGTATTATAGGAGGATTAATGCCGATCGAAGATGGAAGCAGCATAATTGTTACGGCGCAGGGAAAAGCAGGAAGAAGAGCGAGAGCCAGAGCCAGAGCCAGAGAGAGAGAGAGAAAGAGAGAAAGAGAGAAAGAGAGAAAGAGAGAGAGAGAGAGATCGTATTTATTTTTTCGTCACGTCGTGATCGAGTTTCGATTTTTGAGCAGGCGCAATTGACAAGGATAGAGCGATGAAATTGAATCTTTTTGTTCTCGGAATGAAGCACATAACGATATAATAACTGCGGTGCGATAGCGGAGTGACTTTTTCGATGATCCGAGTATTTAGTTGTCGAATGGTGGCACGTGCCCCAGCATTTCTTATCAATGCCATGGCACGAAGTAATTCAATTTATTGAATACCGATATTGAAAATGATTTTGTCAAAAAGACATTTTACAGCGGATAGGATATTTTATTTAAATTCTGTACGTGGAGAGCGTGAATTTGAGCGGTGATGCTTTATATGATTGTGTATGTCTTATCAGCTTCAGCCTACTTTAAATGTATCATAAATAATCTTATTATGCGTATTTGTGCAAATTACTTCATATTACTTCAATTTTTACGAACGTTAATTGCGATACGAAAGGAGTAGGAATTGCATAAGAAACGAGTACTAAACTAATAATCACTTTACAGCTTTAAATTTATTTTAACATACGTTATAAAGTTCTTTCAAATTTGTTAGCCAAACGTTTAAACAAAAATTACATACTACGTATATGCTGCAATAACTACGATATATTATCAATGAATTTCAACTATTCGATTAACGACTCAAAAAGGACTCAAGAAATACGACACTCTTTAGCCCCGTATTCGCTAAACATGCTGCTTTATTCTTTTTAAAAGAAGATTCAAGATTTATAGGCTAACGCAAAATCATATTATCGACAAAAATTCATAATTTTAATGTTTGATCATTATGCTAGAAGGTAGAACA